TCTACACACCTATAAAACTTTTGCTTTGTTTTCTATTGTTAATTTATATACATGTTTGTTTTAAGAAATTGCTAAACATTTTCGTCTAGTACTGTACATTTCTAGCCGATCTCCTAAGCCCGCCCATCGAGAGCTCTGCTCTAGTTCAAGCTTGTTCCAACTATTTCTGTCTTGCTCACGCCTAGTGTGTATTCTTTCTATCTTCGCGCAGATTTCTTCAAGGTCACAATTCTAACAAATTGAAATAGACTGTAATTAGTTAATGTTAATCACTGCTTTACACTTTATGCGAATCTGCATGTGTCTTTAGGCTTTATGTATATACACTTTCTGCTTTTGTCTCTTGTTCATATACTAATGGACAGTATTATGTAATGATAATTAAATGCAATTTGCGGAAATACAAAACGAAAATGTTGAATAAGGAGGTGTGTTTAATTATGTTGGATAAAGCGAGGACAAGTTGACCACCTTTTGCTAAACAGAGCACAATTTGTTTATTTATAGATATAAAAATCATTGACATCATCTCGAGGTCTTCAAGTCTTTAAAGTGGTTGGACATGTTCTTCCACTTCGTCCTATCTTCCGTCAGTTTTCGCATTTCTCGAAAACTATCTTCTATCTTAAAGTTAAGCACCAACGTAGGGGATTCTGCACAGGCAGCATGAAGTTCCTATCGATGTCCCTTGTAATAGGAGACGAAACGTCGGACTTTTTGATGATTAATCCGTCATAGTGTTTTCATCAATAAGACGCGGTTAGCATCTAGAAATCCAGTTTCTTCAGGCGACAAACGTGAAAGCCTATAAATCAACTATAGAAGTTTCTAATTTTAAAAATTTAATTTATAATCATCGTACAGCTATATTTTAATCACAATTTTTTTCGTTGCGTCCAACTGATTCATTCTCAACGTATACTCTATTGTTTTGTTTTGTCTTCTTCGTAGTCCTTTTTAATCAATGTAACCGATGATTATACAATTTGTCGAAGATTGTCTTTTATAACACTACCTGTTTGCTGTGAAATCATGAGCAGTATTTTCTCAAAATGTTGGTTTTAACGGGGCGAATGAAACTCGATATAAAACACTATATACAGACTTTACTTACAAATGAATTATTAACTATGAAATAACGGATTACAATTACAGACACGACGAAGAAAATATGAATTAAAAACGCAAATTAACAAGAAGAAAGACAAAACCTAACTAGCTTTAATTTATGTGACAAAATCAAAAATTGTTCTGGTGCCACCACCAATACCTGGTATGCAACAAAACAATACGAGCCAGAAGCCAATAAGGGGAAAACCCCAACAAGGTATGACTTGCGAGCTGTGAAATTCCTGTAACCTGCATACAATTAAAGAGCATAGATAATAAAATTAACAAAGGTGGTTGCCGTCGAAAACCTTCGCAGAACCTGACCATTGGTACCAAATTGGCCTATCATTGTTTGCAAAAGAACATGCAAGAGTTATTTGACTGGCTTGTAACATTTGAAATTATGGAAATTTCAAATATAATAAAATAAAATAGGTTGAATAAGAATAAACAAATCTATCTCTAACGACTAAAAAAACATTAAAATTAAACTGAAGGACTATCTATTAGTACCTACTACCACAAGGTACAAGGGATAGTTGGTCAAGATTTTTTCCTAGCACTATTTGTGATTCCAGATATTTTGAGTGTACCTTCCCGAGATAAAAATGTTCAGTTTCTCAGAGGCTCTGAAAGCGAGACTCGAGTCTCCGTCTCTCATCGAGTCTCTCTGGTGTCGCTGAAAGAGACTGTCGAGAGACTGTCAAATAAAACTGTTTAGCGTCTCTGAACGAGAGACTCGAGTCACTCATAGAGAGGTCCTCATTTCGTATCTAGTCTCTGAACGAGAGACTCGAATCTCTGAACGAGAGGCTCGAGTCACTCATGGAGAGGTCCTCATTTCGGATCTAGTCTCTGAACGAGAGATTCGAATCTTTGAAAGACAGACTCAAATCTCTGAACGAGAAACTCGAATCTCTGAAATAACAATTTTATCGTTCGAGTTTCTCATACAGAGACTGTGAGAGATCCATAAAAACACCTAGGCAATAACTGAGAAACTGTGAGAGACGTTTTCAGAGACGCTGAAAGACTCTGAGAGACTGGAGAGAGACTAAAAATTTTTGTCTAGGACCGGTCAAATTTCGTATTAAGTTATTCTCTCTATCTTGGTTAATAGGAATTTGAAGGAGTAGTTTTACGAATTACAATTCTCTTTCTCCTGAAAAGCAAGAGTAACGAATCAGGTAATAACCTTGAAATAAAGCGTTTAGACGTTTTAAAAATTAGCTTATAATTTTTTTTAAAGGTTGTTTGTGCCTTAATTACATACGAATCACACCACAATCAGCTTAAATAGAAAGCAGTTATTTGGATTTCACATACAGGCACTTCAATTTTATTTACATATCATATGGATAATTGCTTGTCGAATGTTTCAATAAATATATGTGGAATACATTCTCTGTTTCTGTTTCAGATGGGATTAAGGATAGTAGACGACCTATTAAACAAATCGTTCTACAGGCTGGGACGGATAGTGGGTCATTATCCGGGATATTTCATAATAGTACCGGTTCTATTAACCCTCTTGGCTGTGACCGGTTACCAAAAGCTGAATAATAACATTGACCCCGAATACCTGTTCAGTCCGATTAACGGGGCAGGGAAAATCGAAAGGGCCACCGTCGAGAACTTTTTCAAAATGAACTACACGAACAGGTTTAGTGTCGCCAGGATCACGAGAGCAGGTGAGATATCGAATGACGTGACCCGATCATTCGTGTAATAACAAAAGAAATTTGACAGAGAGTTTAAGTATCCGACTAGTCTTTTAGACTTAATGGGATGGTCCAGGTCGTATACCAGCCCTTTCCAAAATTCTTGTTAAAATACCACATATGCGTACGCATATATGTATAACTGCACAAGTTTGTGTAACGTAGTCCAGGCGAAATTTTATTTATGGTGAAATTGCAATAAATTTTGATAATTCAAGCCTTTTCATTGATAACAGCGAAAAAAGGCTTGGAACGGAGTTTAAATTTAAATAGTCATTTCTAAAAAGGAAAATTTAACGCAACGTTATGGAAATAAAATTTTCATCGGTTTTAGTGGTATCTAAATTTTCACGATTTTAGGTAATTTGAAAAATTAACTTTATTTTTTATGAACAACAAGTAAGTTGTCAACGCTGAATATTGTTAGCAAATAATCGAAGAAATGACAAGACATTCAAATTGTTTAATGAACTTTAATTATGATGTGGTAGATATTTCCTTTGATAAACTATAATTATATGTAAATACAGTCAAAATAACGACACCGAAGGGACTACTCATATTTGGTCGTAAAAACCGATAGTCGTAATAGCCGGTGACCTATAGCTATTATTGAATGTGTGATTAATATATTCATATATAAAATAAAACTACATTTTATTTATTTTACATAAAACGTATTATAAAAAGACATTACGTACATGTAATTATCATTTTTCTATATTAATAAAATCTGGAATTTTAGTCTGTTTGGAACACTTCTGTCGTGCGTAGAGACTATGTAGTTCATGTTTAATTTTAATTAATGTATCATCATAATTTCCCTGCATATGAAACTGTTCATTAGAATAAAAAACAATTTTTCGTAATACACTGACAGCATTTGGTTATTTACTTTTGGGATCTTAATGGTCATTTACTGTACCAGATGTGGATACTGTTACCTATTCAAATGTTTACAATACAGCTGGTCGTTCTTACAGGTATAATTCTCCGAAAATATTAGTTAAATGTATTCGCTCAAAGAGATATGTCGTAATAAGCAATGTCGTAAAAAGCAGTGTTTTTTATAGGGCGGTCTAACAGAATTAAGCCGGGACCTATGATTTTGGTCAATATAACCGGTATGTTGTTCTAAAAGATGTCGTAGTAAACGGTTTTGACTATATATTACTAATTGTTAACACGTCTGTTTGTGCTGAACGAACATTGCTTACTGTATAAGAACTAGCTGTTAACCTTACTACATAAAAACTGCCCTTTTTTAGAAAAGAAAAAACCAAATTCTAGCAATAAGCCATACATATCACTTAATACTATTTAATAATTTAAAATTAGTAATTATGGTGAATAAATTATTCGGTATTTTACATATTAAATTAATGTATTTGGTACGCAATAAAACATTTCTATTATCCATTCTTCCCCTAATTTTATATTGGGTGTAAAATCAAAGCAGAAGTTTTTTATTAATTAAAAACAACAGCCGACGTTTTGCCCAAGTTGTCGGATTTTTTCAAGCTTAGTGCTCAACTACTTCTTGTTATACTTACTGACCTACTTTGGCCTTTTTGAGATTTCATTAAAAAGGACTTTTCGAAATTTGGAAGCTTCATAGGAGCAGACGCTCCGACCTTCTACTTGGTCCGCCATTGTATCCTATCAATTGTCTTAGACTGATTTTTAAATGCAAACTCTCCCATTGAATTATTTCTAAAACACTCCATTTTGTGTAGTAGTCATTGCTATTTACAATCAAAGTGAACGGCATTAATCCTTTAGCGCTTATGAGTCAGTATTTGTTTTTTAATGTAAAAGCATAATTTACATACTTTAGAATGTTAGAATCGATTAAATCTCATTGCAGAATATTAATTGATCGCATTCACGTAAACATATGAAATAGAGTAAACGTTTTGTAACAATAGTCCAATAGAACAAACAAAATAGCTCAAACCCCAACCCCAAAACACGACACTGTAGTTGTCCGAAGCACTTTTCGGTAACAATGTTACCTTCTTCAGCTCTAACCTTGTTACCGCAAAGTGCTTCGGACAACTACAATGTCGTGGTTTGGCGTTGGGGTTTGAGCTAATTTGTTTGTTCTACAACAACCGCCAATCTTCATATTTAGTCCAATAAAAATTTGCTATTCTATGATAATTTATTATATATCCCTAAAAAATGTAAATGTCAATAATAATTAAGGAGTACTTCCTGTAAAAAATCAAAATGCGAATGCAAGATACGATACCAAGACCGATACTAGAAGTATTTGAGCGAGACCAAGACTGTCCCAATTCCCAATCTTGGTCTTGGTCTTACCTTTTCTATTACTACCCTTTTCGTAACCAATGGGAAACTGTCCTTAATCCAACAGTATCAGCTGCATAGTTTTTCTCTGAGAGACAAACGAACACAACCAGGCATTGGGTACCGGATTTTTCTGTACCATACACTAAAAAGAGAAGTTGGATTTACCATTTTTTTTTACTATTTTTAACACATCAAACTCAGAAGAATAGTAAAACCGTGTAACTCTCAGAACTAATAATTTTAGTTATGACTACCGTTATTCTAACTCATATCTCATAGTAACTATTATACTTTAAACTACTACATACTTTACACAACATTAATTACACTACTTTAATACTACAACCCCTTTATAATAGGAAAATCGAAGGGCTTTTAGACAAAATCGACCCCGTTTTATTGCAATAAATACATTATATATTATTTATAGTCAATCGAAGGAATGTATAGTGTGTCAGGACGTTTGTACGTGACTGTACGCTGACAATTAAATTCAAATATGTGCTGTTTATTACNACCACCAATTAACAATTTTTAATTACTTCAGTTTTTGTTGAAATATTTGAATTTTAACTTTTCCAACATTTACCAATAGACTTACCTTCTTATCTAATCGAGTACTAATAACTAATAGCAACTATTTCAGATGCTCTATGTTAAATGCCGTCCTATAAATACATACACTGATGATTTTCATTTGTACGTAGATACCTACAGCTTAAGTTAATTGATTGTCGATCTATTATGAACGTATGCATACGGTTACGCAACTTAATCTAATCATTATGGCACTTCGTAGCATTGCTCGACCATTTCTAATTAGATAAATATGCCGATGGCAAAATTGTCGAAAGTGAGAGTAAAAAGACGAGAAGAATTTCTCCACCATGACTGACCGGCGCCTGGGCTTTTCCAATCTAAAAACATCTGTCTATAGTACACCAAACGATAAATGCCAACACCAACAACTGTGTTTCGAAATAAACTACAAATTTCATAAATCGACTGTAAAAACGTCGAATATCTAGGATGCGCCTTTGCGAAAAATTTAACAATGTCATACAGATTGCGAAAAATCTTCAACGATTATGTCTATTAGAATGGCGATTATTTCTAAAAAATTACATTACAGGCAGTTTTCAATTAAATAGCCGCTCTAAAAGTTAATTTTCGATTGTTTTTGAAATTTATTTTCCAATTTTTTAATATGTCTAATCCGACATTTAGGGTTGTATGATCAATTTCTAGATTATCTTCCAGTTTTCGATAGATTACGGTGGATCCCGATTGTAGGTTAATTAAAAAAGTAGAGATTTACCACTAATTATGGGTTCATTAAACTTATTAAATTGTAATTATCTCAATTAGTCGATACTGCAAACTCCTGATCATAAGCAATTAAAAATGGCATTGTTTGGTGAATTTCGGTTAGGGTAGGTTAAGTTAGGTTACGAAAAGAAGTTTACGAGTGAACTAAAACACATTAAATGGACCTTGCTGGAGCATACGTAATCCTAAAATGTAGCATCGTACTACAGATGGCGCTCACCACGCCATTTGTGGTATTTTCTAAAACGCGCTGTTAAGACAGCAGGTAAAGGTTGGTCTGTGTTCTGTCGAAGCTGCCTGCGACACGCTGATGAGATCTAAAAAGATCGAAATCACGAACCGCCCTTGGCAGTTTCGACAGAATACAGACCACTTCGAATTATTTTGTTCACATTAAGGAACTTCCACTTTTTTGTACTGCTATATCATCATATTCAAGCCTTTAGCTTCTGCATCCATATAAATCCATACTTTATAATCTTCTGGTCCACAGGAAGTCCTTTGTGTGTCATTTGCATAAGAACGAAGTGTCTGCAAGTCGGTCGGTCAAGCATGAACACCTCTCCGTGTTCTTAAGAACAAGATTTATTTATTATCATGGCAGATAAGATAGCTACTTCCTAAATCGTATCTAATGGACTAATGGAACTTCGTTTTCATCCTGTCCCATAAACTATTTGTCATGTTTTCCATTTTGCATGATTTAAAATGATTAATTCAATCTTTAATAAAAGTTACTAAATAATTGAAAGAGTTAATAGTAACGATTCACTGATACTTATCTGGGGAACATAGAAAAAGCAGGGAGACATCATCAGGGTATCTGAAGATGGAGATCCGTCACCACCCTACCTTACTAGTGACTCTCGCTACTAATACTTCCCCAATCGAAAACTTAAAAAAAAAAACTTTTGGGTGTTTCATTCCCACCAGGTGGTGGTGGTTCGGGTGAGAAAGATGAGACGGACGAAATGAAGACAGAACAGAGTGAAAGATTATCTGTGGAGTATTACTGCTTCAGCATTTGCTTAAGTGATCTAAGGAAACCACAGAATAACTTGGACCAAGGCTGACGGACCCGGAATCGAACCGGCGTCCTCCCGAATGCTAAGCAATGGTCTAGACCTCTAGGCCATGCCGCTCGGTCCTCAATCTAATTCTCCTCTATCTAAGGGAAATATATCTATTTTTGACTTACTAACCAAGTGGTAGGTGTTTAGGTCGCAAATCAGACTAAATCATCAATGTTCGCTATGTCGGAGTACGAGAACTTGATCGATATTAAGAATTGATCCTGCTTAAAACAAAAATTCGAATCAGCTGAT